TTTTTTTTTAATAACAAGAAAAAATACATTAGAAAAAAGACTGACTATATGACATAGAAAGAAAAAGTTTTGAACGTTCCAAAAATCAACATAGACTTTTTTTATGATCTTTGATAATCGATTACACATTCTTTCTCACGCTGAAACTCTCATTATCTATTTCGATCAATCGCAAAGTATTGTATAACTTTAATCAATTAAATTTTACTTGATCGATAAAAAAAAAAAGATAAAAAAAAAAAAAAACGTTTCAACGTGAAAACAAATGTCTCTCGTTTGGCGGCTTGTCCCGTAAAGCTTAGAGAAAAAAAGATCTTCGATAAAATAGAAATATTTCGGCAATTCTCAATTGTGAAATAATAATAAGAAAGAAAAGAAAAAGAAAATAGAATAATAATAACGATCGATCGAAAACTATGATCGATTATGATGGCTTTGGACTTACCGGTCGAATCGAAGTCACCCTCTAATGGCCTCAATGGCCTCGTTATACTTTTTCTCTTCGAGGGGGAATGTTTCAGTGCTGCAACACAAAACACAAAATTTGTTGTGATCACAGGTACGACTTTTACAATCCTTATTAACTCTGTTAGAAATAAAACATCCATCTGATAATAATAATAATAGTAATAATAATAATAATAATAATAATAATAATAATAATAATAATAATAATAATAATAATAACAATACTAGTACTAACAATACTAATACTAATAATAATAATAATAATAATAATAATAATAATAATAATAATAATAATAATAATAATACTAATAATAATAATAATAATAATATTAATAATAACAATAATAATCATAATAATAATAATAGTACCTTGTATAAACCGAAACGATTAATAATAAAATTGGATTAAATGTTAAGGGAAGGTGCCTGTTTAACGAGGAAGGTACCACTGATTTGTACGCTACTGAAGCTGGTATCATCAGTACCGTAGCAAGTATCATTTTTATTTCTATTTTTCTTTTTCTTCAAATTACTTTTTTTTCCACCTCGCTACAGCACTGATCACTAAGGACTATGATATATTTATAATATACGTATAATATCTAAGTCTTCCTTGCCTTTTGTTTTCTTTCTTCTTTCTTTTTTTATTTTTTTCTTTTTTTCTTTCAAATATTTCATCTCTTCAATGTTCTCTTTCTATCTAATAATACGTGAATTATAATATGAGAAACCAAACTACGTATTCAAGCCGACACAACATCTAAAGAGAAGCCTTTTATCTCTTTCTAACAAATGCTTTTCTCTTCTAACAATGAATCATTCTAATCTAAAGATAAAATGTGTTTCATAGTAAAATTTTTCTAATGATTTTTTTTTTCTTTCTTTGTTATTAAACTTCTACGTGTCTGGTTACATGCCTTGTGTGTTCATTTTTATATTTTTTATACATATAGATACAGTATACTTATACATATGTATATATACGTACGTACGTGATCGTGAACGTCCGTCAAAAAATTTCCTAAAATACAGCGAATCGTATATATCCGCTATTGTTATTATTATTATTGATTTATTTTTCCATAATAATCATCGTTGACATTTTCAATAGGGGCTAAGGTGGGGTGTGGGGTATGTCTAAGCCAAACTAACGTACGATATTGAAGATTTAAAAAGAAAAACAAGAAAAAAGAAAAGAAAAAAAAAAAACAACAATCAAATCTCGCGCACGTCGGTAGAAGCAATTTTGTGGATAAAAAAAAAAAAAAAAAAAAAAAAAATAAAAGAGAAAATAATAAAAAAGAAACAGTACAAAAGAATATTGAAAAATAAAAAAAAAAAAGGAACTACGCTAAGTTGATTGGTCACTGGCCCGTACTATATAATATATATATATATATATTATTTTTTTTTTTCGTTTTGCCTGATTCAGGATATGGGAATGATCTTGTGGATCACTCCTGTGGGAAGGATTTATTGTTCGTCCTTATCTCGATGCGTTGCGTTAATATTCAAGAGCTTTGTGCAGTGTGTTGAAAAGTTTCAGGAGAAAGAAAAAAAAAAAAAAAAAGAAAAAAAAAAAAAGAAAAAAAAAAGAAGGAAAAGAGTACCGATAAATAGAAGAAGATGGAGAGATAGAGATAGAAAGGTACATGTATATATATAAATATAAAAAAAAAAAAACATAGATTGATTAGAAAAAAGATAGAAAAGGGTAGATATACAAGGACACCGATGAAAAGTTTCTGAGTGATTAATTAAATATTATTAATCCTTCTTTTTTTTTTTCTTTTTTTTTTTTTTTATTTTTCACACCAATTTCGTTTTCTTCAGATTGTAAAATTGTACGATTAGAAACTTTTGTCTTGTCCTTGCATATGAAAACATCATCAGAAGCGGTTCGCACGATCGCACGCGACTGTAATCACATTGAAAGCTACCAAAGATCAATAAATAGATCAACAAATAGATCAACGAGATATAATACACGACACGTTCTAGATCGAAGTAAACATGCGATTGATAAATTGATTATCCTTCGATCTTTATTCTAATGTCATATGAATTAGTTTCGTCACGTGCCGTGATATCAATAAATAAACACACACAAATACATCGTAAATATACACGCAAATATTACGAACGAATTTTAAAATTGTTTAGAAAATGTTTCATCGGCAATGTGCATGACTCATAATAAAATTAATTAAAAAGACGATATTATAGAATTATTACGAACGTTCTCTATTAACCTAATGGATTAACGTAAGAATAATTAATTAATTATTTCATTAATTAATTATAAGAGGGGGGGGGGGAAGAAAAGGAAAAAAGGGGAGAAAAAAGCAACACTTAGACAAACACGAAGGATTGAAAATACATTGGAACGACTATAACACATTTTTAATTTAAAAATATTCAAGGCATTCATTAACGATATAAAAAAGATCGAAGAAATGCAAATACATGTGTGTATACACACATATACACACAGACACACGCACACGCAGACGCACACGCACACGCACGAATACATATATACGCATGTGTTCTCAAAGAATCATAAATTAAAGTTTCACGCGAAATGTTTTAATAAAAAACAATTAATTTGATCGAATAGGAGAATTAAGAAGCACATAAAGTATGAAAAAAAAAAAAAAAAAAAAAAAAAAAAAATAGAGAAAATTTTGAAAAGCCATTTTTACGAGTTATTGTATGTGCATCGAACAAAAGTGAATCTATCTATGTATTTTCATAAAAATTCTACAAAAAAAAAGAACAAAAAGAAAAAAAAAGAAAAATAAAAATAAAAATAAAATTTTCTTTTTCTTTTTTTTTTTTAACATTTTGTTCGGAAAAAAAGGAACAATACGGGATTATACAAGCACACACACACACAAGCACGCACGCACACACAAAAGCGAAAGTGTGAATAAAGGAATAAACGTTACGGGCTATCGTACAACTTAGAGAAAGGAAGAAGAAAAATAAAGAAAAAATAATAGATATATATATAAAAAAAAAAAAAAAAAAAAAAAAAAAAAAAAAAAAAAAAAAAAAAAAAACAGTAAGAAAAAAAAGAATAAAAGAAATCGAAAAGAAGGGAAAAAGTGAAGAAGAGTGAAAAAGAACTCGATCGAAAAAATATATATATATAAAAAAAAATTTGAGGAAAAATTAAGAAAAAAAAAAAAAAAGAAAAAAAAAAAAAAGGAAAAAAAAACAAACAAAAAAAAAGTAAAAACGAAAAAAAAAAAGAAAAGGAAATAAATGAATAAAAAAATAAATGAATAAATAATTAATTAAAAGATGTTGAAATAGACAGACGGACCAACAGAGACAGACAGAGTTACCTATGTAGCTGGTGACGAGGTTACGGAATTTGCGATGGTTCCCCTTAATCTCAGGCAGGTCCACTTTTCGTATTCGAGTTTTCGAGTTTCGATCGGTAGCAGATCAGGTCAGATCAGGTTCATTTGGGGTCGACACGGAAAGAAGTGCACGGGACACAGAGAAACATCAACATTTAGCTGATTCCGTATTCGGTTCATGGCAAAATCATTTTAACAAACATAAAGTACGCTTTCAATTATCCCGATTATATTCTTTTCTATTTTATCAATTTTCTTTTTTTCTTCTTTAAAAGTAACAAAAATTCTTTGTTTCGAAAAAAAATAATAAAAAAAAATAAAAAAAAAAAATAGAAAGAGAGAGAGAGAGAGAGAGAATGAGAGAAAGAATAAAAGACAAATTAAAGCGAGGAATTTGGTATTTTGGTTTAATAAGTTTCTACGAAGTATTTTGAAGAAAAAAAAAAAATATATATATATATAAATAAATTAATAAATAAATGAAAAAAAGAATATAAAGTATCTGTTAGATAAATACGTCGTCGTTCGATAGAAATATATATATATATATATATATATATATATGTAAAATAGGTACAGAGAGAACATTCGCACGCTTTAAAAAAAAATAAAAAAAATAAAAAGAAAACCATTTCGCGTGTTTGATGAGCGTAAGTATTAATTTGTCTATTTCTTTTTTCTTTATTTTTGTTTGTCGGCTTTCTCTGCTAATTTCCTTTTTTCTTTTTTTTTTTTTTTCATTTTTGGATGTAAAAGCGAGGAAGTACGAAGAGCAGTTTGTTTATGTTTTTTCTTTTTTTTTTTTTTTTTTTTTTTTTCTCGAAGAGCCGTCCCACGTTGTGTCTTTTCTCCGAAACCTATTTACTTTTTAAACAACACTGTACATCTGTTTTGAAAAATGATACAACACAATTTGTATATATATATATATATATATATATATAAATAGATAGATAGTTAAATAGAGATATATATATATATATATATATATATATATATATATATATATATAGATATATGTATATACAGGGTGATCCAAAAATTTTTTAAGCAAATTAAAAGTTCCTATGTGATTTTAAATATCAATCGATTTCTTTCGTGATCTTTTATTAGAATATAATGCAATTAGGCTTTTGATTTGACAAATTAATATTATAGTTTGACGATCTGAAAGAAAGAAAATAGAAGGAGGAAACAGTAATTAAAAAACAAAATAAAAACTTGGCATGAAAATTTTCGAAAAAAAAAAGAAGGAAGAAAAGAAAAAAAAAGTAATTGATTGTTAAAATCATCTAGGAACTTTCGATTCATCCTGTGTTTATATATATATAAATATATATATATATATATATATATATATATATATATATATATATATGTACGTCAATGAAGAGGTGAAAAGGAAAAAAAAACAAAGAAAAAAAGAAAAGAAGAAAAGACCGAAAAAAAACCTTAAACGTATCATACGAAAAACACAAACAACGAACACATCGCAAGAAATATACAATAATTATCGAAGGCTGTATGCAAGGTGTATAAAATGCGAATGATGACTGATAATGATGATGATGATGATGATGATGATGATGATGATGATGATGATGACGATGATGATGATGATGATTATGATGATGATGATGAGGATGATGATGATGATGATGATAACGACGATGACGACGACGACGATGTGCGTGCAAAATTCACGTGATTAGAAAGAAAAGGAAGAAAGAATGAAAGAAAGGAAAACAAAGAAAAAAATTAGAAAAAAATTAAAATAAAAGAGAAAAAAAATTTATATATATAATTAGATAGATAGATTAGAATGGCAACGAAAGAAAGCAACGAAAAATAATTACGATTAGTTAATCAGTATAATATGCATATAGAGATATAGAGTTTAGCGTTTGCTATTTTTTTTTTTATTTTTTTTTTGATTTTTCTATTTTTGTTAATAATTTAATTCGATAGGAGAAAAAAGAAAAGAAAAAGAAAAAAAAAGACAATGTGAACGATAAAGAAATAAAGGGTGAGACCATAATAATAATAATAATAATAATAATAATAATAGTAGTAGTAGTAGTAGTTGTAGTAATAGTAGTGCGGGTAGGCTCTTTAAATGAAATGAAATTGTCAATCGTGAAAATGTTTATTGGCAATATATATATATATATATATATATATATATATATATATATATATATGTTATATATAAATGTTGTACATTGGTGTCCACATTACGATTTCATAGCTGAATATTTTTCATGTTTTCTATTTTCTAATTTGCCTACTAATATTTTGCTTTTCTTTTTTCTTACTAATTGGTTTTTCTTTAAATTTTAATTTTTTATTCCTTCGTACGTTAACAATAAAAAAGATATTTCTATTTATACTATTCATCTCTCTCTCTCTCTCTCTCTCTCTCTTTCTCTTTCTCTCTCTCCCTCTCATTCTTACTTTTTCTCATTTTACAAACTATTCTGACGCATAAACAAATATATAATACTAACTTCAGCAAAAAATAGATCTATTTATACCTATGATAATGTGTATATGTAAATAATAATGATATTATGTTAGTCAGGAGGAACTCTTGATCTGTAGATAATTATGAGAAAGCACGAAAACGAAGACGCTATATGGGATCGATACTATCGATCAATTATGAATCATTTTTCCATATCGCGATCATATATATATATATATATATATATATATATATATATATATATATATATATACATATACGATATATATATATATATATATATATATATATATATATATATACATATACGAGTTGATTGTTATGAAAGTGGTTCAAGTGAAAAATTGTACACGCGTACGTACGCTTTTTCTTTCTTTCTTTTCTTATTTTTTTTTTTCTCTTTTTCTTTTTTGTAACATGCTATTCTTAACATTCTCATTTTTTTTGTCTGCATTTTTTTCTTTTTCTGTTTTTTTCGTTTTTTTTTTTATTTTCTTTTTAAATTATACAAAAGAATTATTTTTCAAGAATAAATATACTTACTTTTTCTTCGTTCGTTCTCGTTACGGTAAAAGAAGAATATAAAAAAGATTTTGAAATATTACAAATTCAAATAATACCATACTTAGACCACTTTTCATAATGAATTGATTCACGTATATATATATATATATATATATATATATATATATATATGTATGTATGTATATATATGTATATATGCATGTATGTAATATACAAATAGGTTTCGTGCGTTCTTCTATATCCTCTTTCCGATAACAAGCTTTAATAGAGTACGATTACAATCTCACAAATGAATAATAAAAATAGAAAGCACTTTGTGAAATTATTCTGTTGTTAAATAGTACTAGGAGAAGTTTCAAGAACTTTACCGATTATTATTATATATATCATATATCATATATATATATATATATATATATATATATATGTATACATAAAAATTCTTATAAAACTTTGGCAGATAGGTGTACTGTTCATTTGTAAGGAACTTTTTTTTCTTTCTTTCTTTCTTTTTTTTTTTTCTTTTGAATATATTATAATGCAATATGCAATCAAGTCCACACATTCATAAGTAGTCTTCAACTTAGTTGAAAATAAATTTCATTCTTCTTTTTGTTTTTCTTCGATCGTTTTTTTGCCTATCAATAAAATCAAAAATATTCTTCCTTATTGCTGATCTACATTTTAAATATTCAGCTATTATTTTGTGAACACCAGTGAACGTATAGATTATTATTATTCTCTTATTTCGAAAATTTTTGTCTACATTACCGATATTAAAATACTGTTTTCGGACGAGAATGTTAAACGAACAACGTGGTTTTGTACCCGAAATAATAATAAAAAATAAAATATATATATACACAAACGCACAAACACGCGCACACACACACACAAATAAGAAAAAGAAAAAAAAAAGAAAAGAAACAGGAACAAATAAGATAAAAGAAAAAGAAAAAAAATATATGTGTGTGTGTAAATGTTCGAATATGTATATATCGTGTTAGCAATTAGTTACACCAATACAAAACCCAAAGGTGATAACCTGATTACTGATTAATATATTCCGAATATTTTATACATTATATATATATATATATATATATATATATATATATATATACATTTTATTTTTTCTTTTAATTCATTATATTTTATTTTAATTCATTATATTTTGAATAATCTTTGAAGGTATCCGAAAATATCATTATGGCTTTAGTAATTATCGATTCTAAATACTTAAATTACAACAAATTAATTCTATCGATATGGCATATTACTTATTCGAATATCACTGTATTTGTAAAATCTCGTGTATTTGTTTTACATTATTATTATTGTACGCGTTTGGCAGCTCGAATAAAATTAATTATCTACAGAAATTTTCTCTCTCTCTCTCTCTCTCTCTCTCTCTCTCTCTCTCTCTCTCTCTCTCTCTCTCTCTATATATATATATATATATATATATATATATATATATATATATATACATACATATATACATACGTACATACATACATACAATGCGAAAGATATATATATATGTATATAAAAAAGAAACCAAAAGAAAAAAGAAAATTTTCAGATACCTACAAGTCCCATGTGTTTATCGTTACCTTAACAAAAAAAAAAAAAAAAAAAAAAAAAAAGAAAAAAAAGACCACTTTCTAAAATCTTTTCTTAGAATATTATGGACGGCTATGGTCTGTTTCTTTTTTTTTTTTTTTTTTTTTATGCGAGAAAAAGAAGGATCATTTATTAATATATATATATATATATATATTCTTTTAAAATATATATATTTTTTTTTTTTAATATGCGAGGTGTTTGCTTGCTTTTTATTTTTTTTTCTTTTTGTTTGTTTGCGAGTTATTTTTTTTTTTTTAATGATAAATGCACGATTAAAAGATGATATATATATGTGTATATATATATATATATATATATATATATATATATATATATATATATAATGTTAATATATATCGTTCAGTATCTTTTGAGATATTAATATTTAAATAAAAACTTGTTACTTTTCGGAAAAGGACATAGTCATGCTAAACGATTAAGCACTTGTTAATTAGAATTGTTTTTTTCTCATCCCCCTTTTCTTTTTTTTCTATTCATTTCTTTCTTTTCTTTTTCTTTTTTTCTTTTTCTTGTTGTTCATTTTTTAACGAGATTAGAACGAGGTACAACGAGAAATACTGGAGATAAACAAAATACAATTTCTCTAGCTTACGGCTTACTGCACTATGTACGTATTTTAATTTGCCTTGTCTATTGTGTGTGTGTGTGTGTGTGTATTTTATTTTTTCTTCTCAATCTTAAGTATCAAGATAATTATCTTAATTTTAATTAGTCGTCTATGTGTGCGTATATTATGTATACTTGTTATTCGTAAGAAAAGTCATATGCTAAATAATTCTAGTTACGCGATTTGTCTCTTTCTTCTTTTTTTTTTTTTTTTCCTTTCTTTTCTTCTTCTTCTTTCTCTTCTTTTATCAATTCTTACAATCAAACTCCCTAATTAATTCTCCCCCTTACAAAACTCTTTTCCTAATTCTTTTATTTATTTCTTTTTCTCTTTCTTTCTTTTTTAATTAATTTTTCTTCCATACGTTTCACAAATATGCGATTAACGTAGTGACATTTTCCAAGGGAAAAAAGAAAAAAGAAAAAAGCAAAAAAAAAAAAAAAAAAAAAAAAAAAAAAAAAGAAAGAAAGAAAGAAGACAAAGAAAAAAAGAAAAGATGTCATTGTATAATATTGAATATAGTTGAATCACGGTATATGCATATATATATATATATATATATATGTATATATACATGTATATGTATATACTAATACAGACAGAAAAAGAAAGTATGTTTAATCACAGTCAATAATAGTTAAAAAGTTAATAAAAAGTGATCTTTATAAATCGTTTTCATAAATATGACTTTAAAAAGTAATGGATTATCTTTGTTAATCGACAAAGATAATTACACGGTAGGATTATTGTTTTAAGATTAACGTTATAATAAAAAAAAAAAAAATGATTACAAGAAGAAATAGAGAGAAATAAAAGAACGAGCAGAAAAGAAAATGGAATAACAAAGACGACGGATTAAATCAATCAGAAAGCAATAGCCATCAAAGATAATAAATCTGTCAAAAAGGTTTCACTTACAACTTAAGAATGAGCCTTGTTTAGTGTCAACATTGACGTCAAGTTTGCTAGTAGAGGCTGATTAGGATGGTACTTACGTGAAGGTATCTTCTTGAATACTGTCTTGGCCATAAAGTCTTGAAAACGCTGAGCATAAAATCCTGGTCGGTGTACTGATACTGTATCCTGTAAAAAGGAAAACAAAAAATATTTTTTATTCTTCCTTCTATTACACACACACACACACACACACACACACACACACACACACACACACACACACATATATATATATATATTTATTTTTGTTTTTATTCATATTGTCGTTGATAAAAATCATTTTCAAAAAGATCAAATTAATCAAGGATACAACGATAAGAAAATTGACAATAAAAAAATATTTGATCATAATTAATAACTATATACATTTATGTCAATAATATAATAAATATTTAACTTACACCATCGTGTATCATCGATTTCCACGTATGCTCGAGCTTCTTCTTAAGTCTGTAGCTCTGCAAAATGTCAATGATACCAAGAAATAATAATAGCCGTTCACCACGAGCATTTCTTGCAGGTATACCACCAGGACTGCTAGGAAGAAAAAATAATAATTTATGTTTACCATTTAGATACTTCACTCTTGAATATTATATTTAACAAATTATTTAACATATTATTAATCTCAACACATTTGAAAGAGAGAGAGAGAGAGAGAGAGAGAGAGAGAGAGAGAGAGAGAGAGAGAGAGAGAGAGAGAAAGAGAATAATAAAAATTTTTTAGGTGACGTTAAAAGTCAATTGAATTTTTTTCAAAATTTTATAATATAAAAACTAGTTGTATAATTTGAACGAAAGAAAATCAATTCTCGGAAAGAAAATTTCTAAAAGCATTTAATAACTTTAAACGATTATTCATTTAGGAAATTTTAATTTTTTTACAACATTTCTATTAGAGAGACAGAGAGAGAGAGAGAGAGAGAGAGAGAGAGAGAGAGAGAGAGAGAGAGAGAGAGAGAGAGAGAAAGAGAGACTTTCAATCAAGTTAAATTTATAGGTAAAAAAATACTCACGGAACATCGTCCTCTTCGTCGATTGGTTCGCTCTCAGCTTGAATACTTTCCATAGCTGTACTATGAGCGACCAACCTTTGCCTGTTTATGCTTCTCGATCGATTCAATGCCGTAGCACCTATTCTGTCCTCTCTATCGCGTTCTCTGTCCGTTTGAATAAAAGCACCACCCTCGCCTGCGACATCACCAATCTCGTCGTCGGCACTGGCTGATATTCTTTGTTCTTGCTAAAGAAACGAATCAACAATTTTATAAAAATGTGTTCTTGTAGTTTTCTTTTTTTTTTCTTTCTTTTTTTTTTTTTTTTTTTTTTTTTTTCTTTCTTTTTTCTTTTCAATTAAATAAGACACGTTAAACGTCTCTTGGTATGATTTATTAATACGAAAGAACGCAAGAGCGTTTTCTAAGAAATTGATTAGATCTATTTACTCTGACAACAGATTTTTATGAAAGTTTGTTTTCAACTCAGACGAGAAGTCAAAAGATGTAAACAAAAAGTCCAGGCGACAAAGACGTGATAAATTCAGGAACGTATTCACGATTGATTATATCATTCATATATCTGGTAACAATTTTATCGGTGTACTTAAAATAAAATCAAATGATTATTGATTATCGTTAAATTGTTATTGTTTACGTCTCTCGACTTTGTCTAATCTCGTTGAATAGATTATAGTGATATTACTTTTTATTAATTCATCTTCTAATTACATGCAAATTATAACGAAGAGACACTATAATGACTCCATTTGTGATATTCGAACGCATATGTGTATCCATCTTGTTCATAAAAATATTTTATAAAATATTTATTAAAAAAAAAAAAAAAAAAAAAAAAAAAAAAAAAAATTTATAAAATAAAAATATTCTAACGTATGGAAACGCGTTTACTTTTTGTAGTACTAACAAGGATATCGATAAATGTATTTTTTTTTAAATAGGCATTAACGAAGCCATTTCTTTTTTTTTCTTTTTAAATAATCGCGAGATATATTCCTACAAGAAAAATAATACTGTCGAATCGTTCGTGCTGTATCGTTCATAATAATACGAATAAAAAAAAAAAAAAAGAAAAAGAAAAAATAAAATAAAATAAAATATAATTGATAAATATGTCGTTTGAGATACGGATTTTCCAACTTTCTTTTTTTGCAACATCGAACTCACGGAAAATCTTTTAAAAATCACGAAATATCCTTTAGAATATAAATATTGCCGAATCATATGCGTATCATATCGACAAAATTAATGATAAAAAAATTCTTGGATTTATTTAATTTTTTTTTTTTCTTTTCTTTACAATTTCAACATCTCACGGATTTCGCGATAACAAACGTACCTTGAGCGTCGTTCAAAATTTGATGCATCGAAACATCGTTCATTATAATTTCGTTATAATAATATTAGCTATTCATTATTTTATCGTAGCTAAAAGGATTTAATTAATTGAAAAAAAGAAAAGAAATGAAAAATGGAAAAGAAAAAAACGAAAGTATATATATATATCAATTGTTTGTTTACTTACAGCTTTTTCCCTTGCTGCTTGATCAAGATTATGTATCCCAACTAAAAGGGAATAATCCATGATCTTGAAACTCTCTAAAACGCGACAATCACGTTGTATAGTTTTGACAAGTGCATTGTATGTATCTGCTTCGAGAAAGATTCCTTCCTGATGGTGTTCCATAAAATCTAAATCCTTGTACGTTGGTGACGACTTCGATCTTTCCATCTTTGATGCCTGAAAAGTGTTGGGTAGAAAAAGAAATGAAAAAAAAAAAAAAAAAAAAAAAAAAAAAAAAGAAAAAAAAAATAAATAAATAAAAGAAACGAATGATAAAGAAACATTATAAAGCTGACAGATTAAATATGAAAGAATAAAATATGATTATAGTAAATGTCTAAACATAACATACCTTTCTCTTATACGTCGATCCTTTTAAATCGTACTTTTGATGCAATTTTACTGACGACGGAAGTAGATTATTCATAGCGACTAATCGAACATTTTTACTGTTACAACGATAACAATACAAGCCGAAAAATTTTGGTAACAGTGTTCTTGGATTCTGATTTAAATTCTGAAACAAAAGAAAAAAAAAAAAAAAAAAAAAAAAAAAAAGAAAAGAAGAAAAAATAGAATAGACAATAAAACAAATAAAAGATAATAAAGAGATAATGGAGATAAATTGGGCATGTCATTTGTTAATCGTCCAATTAAATCATGTTGTATTATTGTCGAAATTGAGATCGAGAAGTTCGACATTAAAAATCGTTTACTTTCGACGATTAATTTCTTTTTCTCATTTTTTTTTTCTTTTTTTTTGTCATATCGTAAAACTACAAGTCTATCTGATAAAAACGAACGACCAAGTGTCTGACTAAGAATTAAAAAAAAAAGTATCAAGAAAGAGTAATCGATTTTTAAAACCACTTCGGAACTTTCTTTTCTGCGATGGGGCGTTGGGAGGAAAGAGAGAGAAAGAGAGAAAGAGAGAGAAAGAGAGAGAGAAAGAGAGAGAGAGAGAGAGAGAGAGAGAGAGGGAGAGAAAGATGAGGGACGAGGGCACACGCTCTTTGTAAATACATATTTCATTGTCTTTACCATGTAATATCCTGGAAGAAGAGTTTGCAAAAATTCTCCCTCTTTATGCTGTACAGTCTTAATAATAAATTCATCGTCCTCCGTTAAATAGAATATACTTCCACTGGCACCTGGATTGGATAATTCACGCAAAGGTGCGCTACACATCGACATCTGAAGGAAAAAAAAAAAAAAAAAAAAAAAAAAAAAAAAAAAAAAAATAAAAAAAAAATAAAAAGAAATAAAAAAAAAAAATAAAAAATAAAAAATTAGATTAAAATGGTTAAAGTGATTTTATAAAAAAGAAAAACGAACGAATGAATTATTTCTTTTAAATTTTTTATTAACTTTTTTTTTCTTTTTTTTTTTTTTTTTTTTTAAATTGAGTAGTATATTTACCAAAAAGTCATCCGGTTGAATTCCAAAGAGATCCCTAAAATATCGAAATGCAATTGGGGCGTAATTTTTAAATTTAAATTCGGAGAAATGATGAGCCGGAGTGTGATTAGATCCCTCGCTTGGAAAATTCGTTGTCTCGACGGTCATGAAATCTTGCATGAGTAAATCTCGTTCTGGCTTACTTGCTAGACCACCGACCGCATGTTGTATACCAAGCTGTATAGATCCCATAATCTGTGTCGTTTGTATCTATAGGTTTCCATAAAATAAAAAAAGAAATGACAAAAAAATTACAGATAAGTAATATGTTCTATATAATATGATTACTATGATTACTTTGCACGCGATATGGTGTTACACGATAATAATATTAATTAACTAATCAGTATATACATATATATACACATATATATATATATATATGCATTATAATAATACTAATAATAATAATGTTTATATGTAATGTGAAAAAAAGAATTACAATAATTCTAAGCATGTTACACATGTTATATAATAATAATAATAATAATAATAATAATAATAATAATAATAATAATAATAATGATGATGATGATGATGATGATGATGATGATGATGATGATGATGATGATGATGATGATGATGATGATGATGATGATAGTGATAATGATAATAATAATAATTACAATAATAGTAATGATATTTGTGTTTTGTGAAAAAAAAAAAAAAAAAAAAAAAAAAAGAAAAATAAATTCGACAAAAATTGTATACACACGAAATGTTAATTATTTAATATATATATATATATAAACTTATATAATAATAATAATAATATTTAGGTGTAATATTCTTTTTTTTTTTGTAAATTATTATATTACCTTTTTGTACGTGATTTCACCTCCCACACCAACGCGACGATGTCCAATCTTCCTTTCCCTTTCCGATTTATTTCTCGACACCCCCGCAGGGGTTTTGAGTCCCGCCGTGCCATGTTGCGTTATTGAGTTCTGGAAAATAAACTGGCCGTCTAATATCTCCTTATGTCATGATACATATGTACATATACATATATATATAAAAAAAATAATAAAAAAAAAAATAAAAAAATAAAAAAAAAAAAGAAAACTCATTAAATATTACTAGCCAATATACTTAAGTTCCTAGCAAGATAATTATCTTGACAGAAAGAACGTATATAAACAAAGTTCATGGACATCGCGATTATGTGAAACATAAACAATATTATTGATGAAAAGAAAGAAAGAAAGAAAGAAAAATAGAGAGAGAGAGAGAGAGAGAGAGAGGGAGAAATAAAAAAAAAAATTAAAAAAAGAGAAAATAAAAAGAAGGAGAGGAAAGGTCGGAAAAGTCGCTTGTCTAGTCGATGACGAATCGTTCGACTCTTTAAAGTCCGGAAATAGAACTGATTTAACGCGTAGAAATTAAAAGGAAATCGATCTATCTATCTAACTCGAATCTTATATACATATATATATATATATATATATATATATATATATATATACACTTTGAATCATTTCCGGTCGATTGATCGTCATTAAAATAAAGAAACGAATAAAAAAAGAAATAGAATAAAAATCATTTGAAATATCGATCTATTTAATAATCCAACCCAATAATAATAATAATAATAATAATAATAATAATAATAATAATAATAATAATAATAATAATAATAATAATAATAATAATCATAATAATAATATGTAACTATTATTCTTCGATTAATCATTATAAGAGATTGTAATTAAAAATTTTCACATACATTTATGCATAAAGAAAATAATAATAAAAAAAAAATAATAATAATAATAATAATAAATAGATGTATAAAAAAATGATTAATAATTAATTGTTTTATTTAGTATCATACACGAACGATTATTTACAGATTTAATATAAAATGTTATAGGAAAATTTTCATTACTTTTTATATATATATATATATGTATGTATATAAATATGAATAAAAATAAATATATAAATAAAATAAATAGAACTGTTATCGATTTGAATATTACACGAGCAAAATTATTCGTCAGATTAACGATAAGAGATTGAAATAAGATTTGTATTGATTTTCTTGTATCTATTTACAGGTATGTATATAAATGTATACAAATAAATGAAAATGATTTCATAAAACAAAAACGATTTAAAAATGAAGCTAAAAATTATTGTTGAACATTTTAATGATAAGATATTATCGTAAGATTATCAAATGATTTTCATTTATACGTACGTAAAACTAACGAGAAATGAAATCGATTAGAATCTAATCGTACAATTATTGTCCGATTAATGATAAGAAATTAACGTAAAATCATTACTTCATATATATGTAAAATTTTTATTTATATATAGATAAAAGGAGATAGAAATATAATCGATTAGAATCCGATCGAATGATTATTATCGAATAATTAACGATAAGAGATTAAAGATAAAAGATTCACGTAAAATTTTCATTAATTTTTTATCTTTATGTATATTATATTATCTTTTATACGTAAACATATATAATATATTCTTTCGTTTGCATCTATATAAAAATAAATCATAAAATCGAAGTTGATTGTAATCCGATCGAATGATTATTGTTGTATTTATGTAAAAAAAAAAAAAAAAAAAAAAAAAAAAAAAAAAAAAAAAAAAAAAAAAAAAATCTTTCCATTAAACTTTTCAATAAAAACGATTCAATAATAAATGATTAATAAATAAAGATCAATTTGATTGTTGAGATCGAATAAATTATTGTCCGATCGAATGGATAAGAGATTTATTTAAATGAGATTTTTTTTTTTTTTATCTTTTTTTTTAAAACGGGCAAGATTTTTCCCTTTAAATCTTTTATATTTTATTAATCCATATTACGTCATAGTTAATTTAGATTCTCGAATGTAATTTAAAAAGAAAAAAAGTGACACAAACACTATGACTAGGACTATGATTACGAGGTCGGTGTATTACGTTAGGCGATTAACGAAGTGACGTTAGTGTTCTTCTCCCGTCCTCCCCCCTCCCACGTCTCCACCCCCCCTAGTTTTTCCTCGACCCCGTCGTCCCACCTTCGACCGCGATAACTATGAGAGTTATGCAAGTAGAGTCTCCGTTTTTAATACACGTTCACATTTTACGAACTATCAACTGATCATACTCTATTTACGTTTTACGTACAATTAGAACAAAAAGAATTATCTATGCAAAAGAAAAGAAAAAGAAAAGAAAAAGAAAAAAAAAAAAAAAAGAAAAAAAAAAGAAAAAAAAAAGACGAAAGAAACAAGAAAAAGAAAAAAATAGACAGAATTGTCCAACTGCGTTATAATTTTTTCCTTTCCTTTTTTCTTTTCCTCTCTTTCAATTCTATCCTCATCTTATTTGATTACGATGACATGTATTTATCGTCTTCGTTGGATATCTTCTTTGACCGAGTTCTTTTTTTTATTTTTTTCCTTAAAAATTATAAAAAGAAAAATAAACGAATTTTTTCAATTTCGATTATTTTTTTTTCCTTTCTCCTCCTACTCTCTCCCTATCCCCCTGCTCTCTCTCTCTCTCTCCCTCTCTCTCTCTCTCTCTCTCTCTCTCTCTCTCTCTCTCTCTCTTTCTCTACGAATTTTTCTCCCTTCGATTTTATTCTTATCGCAATCAAAAATTCATTCAGAAATATTGTAAGAGAAAAAGAAAAAAAAAAAAAAAAATAGACAGATTTGTCCAATCTCGATGTATTTCCCTTCCTCTTTTCTTTAATTTTCGAAATTTTTCCTTTACTCTCTTTAATTCCATTTTTTTTTTCTTTTTTCTTTTTTTTTTTTTTTTTTTTTACGTACTATCAAGAGATTATTCTCGTCGAGAATATCTTTTTTTACGTATTAACAAAAAAATATTAGGAAAATAAAAAATATATTCTAATTTCGATATTTCTTCTCTTTTTAATCTTTCCGTCGAAATTTTTTTTTCTTCGCTTCAATTATGCTTGATCACTTTCATTGGATACTTTTCGTGATATTTTTTACAAAAAAAAATTACAAAGAAAGACAAAAGAACAAAAAAAAAAAAAAAAGAAAAAAAGAAAAAAGAAAGAAAGAAAAAAAAAGAGAAAGAAAAGAAACATTTGTCAAATTTCATTATTCTCTCTCTCTCTCTCTCTCTCTCTCTCTCTCTCTCTCTCTCTTCGTTTTTCTCTCGAACCTTTTATTTCTTCAATTTCAATTTATTTTCCTTTGTATGCACGAGTTCACTCTCACTCTTTCTCTTTTTTTTCCTTTTATTTTTTGTTCTTTTTCTTTTTCTATATAATGTAATGTATGTCGTTCAATGATAAAACGAACGCGATAGGAGAAACGTTATCTCCTGACGCACAAGTGAGTATGTATTTCTCGAACGTCAAGGAAGTATCGAATTGTAAACGAACTAATTGCGTCAATAGTTACGTTTTTTTATATTTCTATTTTTTGCTTGCTTTCTTTCTTTCTTTTTTTCTTTCTTCATTCTCGAAACTTAAGAGAGATGAATACCTAATAAAAATGTATTAGTTACAAGAAAGATTAGATAAGGATACTTACATCGAGTGCCGCTACTTTCTCCCCCGTGGATTTATCTGTAAAAATCGTACATTTTTGTTACATTAGAATTACTCGTTAGAATTTTTTACATTTATTATATAATTTATTGGAGACATATATATATATATATATAAATTAAATTAAGAATTTTATTTTTATATTAAATAAGGACGATCATATAAATTTATTTAATTCCTATTACTGTTGTTGTGAATTAAAAATCTTGTTAAAAAGATCGTCCAATCGAATTTTTCATTCATCCGGCGGAAAACGTTTCCGCCATTTTTAAAAGGAAACGATTGTTTCCCCTTCCTTTCTCTCTCTCTCTCTCTCTCTCACTCTCTCTCTCTCTCACTCACTCACTTACTCACTCACTCACTCACTTCATCAGTCGAGGATCAATATCAAGTGTACGTTCAAACCGAGTACCATTTTTGGTGCTAATCAAATTCTGTTTAATGTAATCGATAATCAATATACTCCATAAGGTTTAATTTGAAGCCTTCGATTTATAGGTACTTTTATAACGAGAGGTTCAATTTATAAGATACTGATATTAGTAGTAGTAATAGTAGTAGTAGTAGTAGGAGTAGTAGTAGCATAGTAGTAGTAGGAGTAATAGTGTAGTAATAGTAGTAGTAAGAGTAATAGTGTAGTAATAGTAGTAGTAAGAGTAATAGTGTAGTAATAGTAGTAGTAGGAGTAATAGTGTAGTAATAGTAGTAGTAGTCATATAGTGATATTAGTATAGGATAGTAATACTAGTGGTAATAGTAGTGATGCTGGTGGTGAGGGTAAAAATATGAAGATCACTAAAGGCTTTGATCAAAAGATCAAAGGCCGGTCGGTCGTTCCAAAAAAAAAAAAAAGTATTTATATAAGCCTTAACCGAGGTATGACTTTTCCAATAATATATATATACATATATATATATATGTGTGTGTATGTGTATATGTTTGTGTATACAACACATACATATTATATATATATATATATATATATATATATGCTGGATATACAGAGCGAGTCATTCCAATAGAGACTAAAAATAAAAGGAATAGGTTATTCAAAATTTAAAAGGAGACCAAAATTGTCGAGCTTTTGAAAAATATGACATGAAAAGAGATAGAAGATCGATCAAAAAAGGAATTTCATTTTCTATCAACAAGCTATATATATATATATATATATATATATATATATATGTGTGTGTGTATGTATATAAGGGGATATATATTAAAAGATATTTTCATTTGAAAAGACTCACCACCCAGTATATGTGTATCATACACGTGGAACACACGATAGAACGATCAAAGCTTTTGGTGCATATATATATATATATATCGTAGGATAGAAGAGGGGGAATTTTCCAGGATGAAAAAAGAAAGATAGGAAGGGAGAAATAAAAAAAAAAAAAAAAAGAAAAAGATGACACAACACGGTTGAAGGGCACGAGAAAATCGAACGGGATAACAATGTTCCAACGTGACATTTGAGAAAGATAGATAGATAAATAAATAAGTGGATAGATAAAGAAAGAGATAGATAGATAAACAGACAGATAGATAAATAGATAGATAGAGAGAAAGACAGAGTGAAAGAGAGAGAAATAAAGAAAGAAAGAAAGAAAGAAAGAAAGAGAGAAATTACAAGTACAAGAATAATTTTGTAGAGTCCAATGGCGCGACATGGTTAAGGTTTAATCGTCTTGACCGATACACATGCATATTCCCATCCCTCTCTCCATCTGGTCTGTCTCTCTCTCTCTCTCTCTCTCTCTCTCTCTCTCTCTCTCTCTCTCTCTCTCCTTCTAACAAGTTTTATCCTCGGTCAGCAGCACGCAACATGAGTGCAGTACGTCGATACGTAGACTCGATAAACGGTACAATGCTCCTTCCTACTTTCGCGCGTGCCAAAAGAAAGAGGGAGAGAAAGATATATGCATGTATATATATGTGTGTGTGTGTGTGTGTGTGTGTGTGTGTGTCTCTGTGTGTGGGTGTGTGTTATATATATATGTACACACCATACATATATATATGAAGAGAGAGCGAGAGAGAGAGAGAGAGAGAGAGAGAACACAGTTGATAAAGAAAGAAAGAAAAAGAAATATATATATATATATATATATATATATATATATATATAAATAAAAAAAAAAATAAAAATAGATCAATCGAAAAAATTTTGATTCATCATAGATTTTTGATGATTATTTTATTAAAAACAATTCGATTATCATGAAAATCGAAAGGAATCGATCATCCATAATTATCGCATGATTTCGATTAGCCGATACATTTTCAATGTATTGTTCGTATTATGAAGATTGTAAGTGAAAAAAAAAAAAACGAAAAAAATAAAGAAAAAGAAAAAATCGATCGTCCGATATACGACCGTAGTCGACGACGCCCGATTAATTATTTAACGGATTTCGATTTACCGAATGATCTCTGATTTATTCGTAACGAATGATAAATATTTTAAAAAATTGTATTACGAAATAATTGTAGATTGTACGAATATTGAATCATATATTAACGAAATAAAAATAAATAATGAAGAGACGAATAAATAAAATGAGAAAGAAAAAGAATGAAAGAAGAAGGGAGATAATCTATTGGAAATTAATTCACGAACAATTTCATATGTAAAAATTAGATTGAATTAAAAACAAAAAAAAAAAAAAAAACAAAAACAAAAAAGAAAAAATAAAGAAGAAGAAACAGAGAAAAAAGACAAAAAATAATAAAACCTGAAAGGAAATTATTTTTTATTTTACGAAGAACTTCGTTAAGTAAACGTACAAATTACATTAAATAAAAAAAAATAAAAAAAAAAAAAAATAAAATAAAATAAAGTTAAATTAAATTAAATCAAATAAAAAAAAAAAAAGAAAAGTAAAAGACTTTTTTCCACTTCTAATTTATTATCAATAATGGCCTCGTAGATATTCGTGTGATCAAATAGATGGACAAATGATAGAAGGAGTGAGAAAGATATATATATATATATATATATATATATATATATATATATATATATATATATATAGCAGACAGACAGACAGACAGAGATAGAGAGAAAGAGAGAAAGAGAGAGAGAGAGATAGAAACGAGAGAAAGAAAGAGAGATAGAGTTAGAGATAGAGATAGACAGAGACAGAAAGAGTCTAGAGGGACGGGAGAGGGTGGGGTATGCTGGGGCTAGGACGAGGGTCGTTGGGGTGGGAGGAAAAGAGCAAAAGGAGAAGGGGGTCGAGGCATCGATTTCGTTCGAGAGAAGAGAAGACGCGTGCCGCACGCGGGGAGACGGGTGACACCCATCAGCTGTCAAATCGTGCTAGAACGAGCCGGATTAGAAGTAGCGCGGAAAAGCTTTTACAAGGAGCTTGAAGGAATACAACATCTCACGGCTTTTTCTTTCTCTCTTTCTTTTTTTATTTTATTATTATTATTTCTTTCTTTCTTTCTTTCTTTCTTTCTTTCAATCGATTATTTGTCCTTTCTATAAAAGCTCGTTCTATAGGTGTCGAGGTTATCGAAAGGAGAGTTGGAGGATATCGAATTCTCGAACGACGCCCGTGTTCCTTTTTCGGAGAGAGTATTAGTATTAGTTTGGTAGTAGATTAGTAATTGTAGTAGTAGTATGTAGTAGCAGGATAGTAGTACACGCCTTCTCTCTCTCTGTCCTTTTTTCTTTCACTCACTCACTCACTCACTCACTCACTCGTGTTACTTGCATATCTATCCTTCTTTCTCTCTCTCTCTCTCTCTTTCTCTCTCAATAACTCCGTATCGTCCTTTATAGGTTATGTAGACGATATGAGAAAGGAAAGAGAGAAAGAAAGAACAGAGCGTACGTACGTACGTACATACATACATACGTACATACATACATCATACATACACATATATACATACATGTATGCATGCATATGAGAGAAAAGTAAGACGAAAAAGGAGGCAGATACAGACAGACAGAGAGAGAGAGAGAGAGAGAGAGATGTATATAAGTGGGGAAAAAAAAAGGATAGAATTTAGAAGAATAAAGAAAGGAGAATAATGAGAAATAAAATTAAAAATAATACTTACTGTCCTCCTCGGCGGATTGCTCGGTCCTCCTCGAATCCTCGGCAGGTTGGGCCGGTCCGGCGAAACTCGTTTCTACAACCTCGATCGCGTCCACATTGTCGCCCGAAGCCATCTTGTACGTGGTGGCGGCCGCCCGTTACGATCCACGACGGGCCGACTGACTCACGCGCGACGACCGACGACGATTTCGCGATGGCGCCTCCTCTCTTTCGTCGTCGTCGTCCTCCGCGATACTGGTACGCGCGAACGCATCTTTCTCGAGCGTGATCGAAAGAATCGTTCTCTCTCTCTCTCTCTCTCTCTGTCTCTCTCGATCTATCTATCTATCTCTTTCTGACTCTCAAAGTGGTTCCAGAGTATACGTTCCACTAACGTGTATCGTTGTCTCAATGCACATTCTCTCTTTCTCTTTCTTTCTTGCACACGTCACCTTCTTCTCTCTCTCTCTCTCTCTCTCGCTCTCTTTTTCTCTGTCTTTCTCTTTCTCTTTTCCTTTTCAACACTCAAAACTCTTCTCGGATCTCTCTTCTCTCTTCTCTCTTATCTCTTTATTCACGCACAGAGAAAACTGAATACCGATGTCAATGACAAGAAGTTCCTCTCTTTTCTTTGACGTCACGAAATTTACATGCGTACTCTCTCTGTCTCTCTCTCTCTTCTTATTTATACATATATATATATATATATTCTTTCTTTTTCTCCTTTCCAGTTTTCTATCTGTCTCTCTTTCTTTCTTTTTAATCGGAGAACAGACGAAACGACGAACGAGAAGACAGAGAGAGAAAAGAGAGTCCGTATCTCTCTCTCTCTCTCTCTCTCTCTCACTCACTCACTCACGTCTACTCCCTGCCGCGCCACGCCGACTTCTATCGACCAGGCGGACATATTGTTGACACTTGTGCGCCGTCTCGCGTCATTATTTGGAACTATCGTATCGATCGCATAATATACACCAACGCCATCTTTTATTTCATTCCGAGAAACAAAGATGTCCGCGATTATCTTCCTTATCGATCATCGAATTAAATAGATTTTCTTTTGGATCGACTGAAAATATTTTTCTGTCTATTTTTTGTTCGTTTTTTTTATTTTTCTTCTTTAAAAACACTCATTCGAAAATTCGATCACGTTCGTCTCGAAAAAATAAACCACCGTAATGTTGTTTCTTTTCTAAAACTCACGCGCGTCTTTTGAAATCATGATGAGAATCATTTTATTTATATCGCTAATATGAATCATTGTTTCTGATCGCGATGGTAGATATGGATTTAAATTCGTCGTAAAAATGATACATATACAAATATATATATCGCAGTAGTAATTATATCGATTGTTTATTTAATCAGTAATGATGCTTCAGAGAATACAATAAAATTGTATTACCGACTTGTGTCATTGGAATCTTCGTAGTTGACTCACGGAGGTCGATTCGATCGCTTATTTCATTTTATCGATAATTTTCGATATATATATATCGAAATTATATTATATTACTTATTTGTTTATTTATCAATTTTTCCTTGTTTTTTTTTTTCTCTTTTTCTTTCTACACTTTTTTTTGAATATGTCACGCTCCAAAAAAATGTCCGCATCAGTAATACAATAATAATAATAATAATAATAATAATAATAATAATAATAATAATAATAATATTAAGAATAATTATAAATTTATACGAATTATTTCGCAAAGAAAAAATTAATGGTAAACGATTTATTGAAGTGGAATTATTTTGTTGAAACAAATCGTTAAACATGTGTACGTAAATAAACGTAATTTTGTTTTTGTCGAGATATATAAAGAATTAATCAGAAAAAAAAAAGATATATTTACAAAAAATGGCATTCATACTTATGTCAACGTTAAAATTATTAAATAGTTTCAAACCTGAATAAAGCGATCGAGTCTGTGCGAAGAAGGATGAAAATCAATTTCGATTCCATTTGGTTTCAAAGGACTGTCATTTTTGGTATCGTCGTTGCGATAGCTACAGGAATCTTACACGATTACGTCGATTATCAGAGTCAAGTAAATCAATGAACGCAGAGCACAAAACTCTGTTTGTTATTTATTGTTATATCAGACGATTTATAAGATTTAATTTCTTCCTTTTTCTTTTTTTTTTTTTTTCTTCATTTTTTCTTTTTATATAAAAAGTAAATATGTATTCGCAATCTGCGTTTATGTCAAATAAACTAAGACGAAATGATTTATATTTTACTTAGTTGACGGCTTCTCTCTCTCTCTCTCTCTCTCTCTCTTTCTATGTCTATGC